GCTTATCACTCCCCTCTCCCCATTATATGTTCTACCTTTCTCCTTGGCGTATTTGGAGGTATACTTATCTGCCCCATATACAGTTGATGCAACCCCATTTTGCATCTGGACGGGACCCACCAGACACTGGTGGAAGGGGCCCTGAGTCGCAGCTGATTTATGGCAGCCCCAGAGGGTTTTCAAGGCAAGAGGCGTTCAGAGGTGGGTTTTCGTCATTGCCTGGCTCTGTGTAGCCGCCCTTGACTTCCTCGGTGGTCTCCCATCCAGGGCTATTTTTGGGCAAGAACGCACAGGAACGGAGTTCCGGCTAGCTCCCGAGGTGACCACGCCCAGCAGGAACTCATTAGCATAATAGACCACACCCAACAGCAGAAACTCGTTAGAATTGGCTACATTAGGGGTGTGCGGCCTAACATGCAAAGGAGTTCCTGCAACAAAAAAAGGCCCTGGGTTTTGACAACAAACAAGGTAAACAGAATAAGAAGCAAAAGGTGGGTGTGGCTGGATGACCACACTTCTGGTAACATGGGGGTGCGGCCTAATAGGCTAATGAACTGTGCTGTCAGGGTGGGGCCTGATATGCTAATGAGTTTCTGCTGTTGGGTGTGGCCTATTATGCTAATGAGTTCCTGCTGGGCTTTTTCTACAAAAAGAACCCTGCTCCCATCCAAGTACAAACCAGGGTCGACTCTGTTTAGCTTCCAAGAGGGTGCTAGCTTGGGCCATCCAGATCAAGACAACAGCCCAACGGGGGTGGTTTGCCGTTGCCGGTCTGCACGTAGCGACCCGGGACTTCCTTGGTGGTCTCCCATCCAGCCGGGGGCCAGCCCTGCCAGGCTTCTGAGATCTGACAATGACCCACCAGGTAGAGGAGACGAATGATCAAAAATAGGGATGTGTTGACTTCCGCCTACCCCTGCTTGGCTATTATTTGCCCACCTCTAAGAAAAAGATGCATGGAGGGGAGGGGGACACCTGCCCCTTTCCTAAGGGGGTGTGTGACGTGGGGAGTGTGGTGCACTGGAACAGTTCAGAGGCACACACTGTCACACCCACATGACCGCCGACTGGATTGTACATGCCTAGGCATACCCAGAGGCTGCCGGGCAGGGCCGGTGGCACCATATGCCAAGGGTGGGGCAGCTGCCAGGGCTTCCGGTAGGGCCCACACTGGCTCACCTCCCCACCCATGTGCCTCTCCTGCCACCTGTCAAGGTGCCTATCCACAGCAGGGTTGCCAGCTCCGGGTTGGGAAACTCCTAGAGACTTTGGGGATGGAGCCTGAGGAGGGTGGCATTTGGAGAAGGGAGGGGTTTCAGTGGGGTGTAATGCCACAGGGTCCACCTTCCACGAGAGCCATTTCCTCCAGGCGAACAAGATTTCTACCGCCTGGAGACCAGTTGTCATCCCAGGAGATCTCCAGCCGGCACCTGGAGGGTGGAAACCAAAGAGAGAGATCACGGGATGGAGGTAGGAAGGAAGCAAACGACCGTGATGGGTTCAGCCAAAAAAAGCCCTTGAAGCCATTCAAACGCCATCAACACCAACGAACCATGCCTATTGTATCTCGTTTCGTGGATAACCATGCCTATATAATATTAATCCATTTGGCAAACACTCTCCTCATATCTTCTAGTAACACTCATCAAATCCATTAGTGTAAACTGTTTGACCGATTTGATCTCCTTGCAGTCCAGGGGACTCTCAAGAGTCTTCTCCAGCACCATAATTTGAAAGTATCTATTCTTCGGCGCTCGGCCTTCCTTATGGTCCAACTCTCGCAGCCATACGTGACTACTGGGAATACCATCGCTTTGACCATACGGACTTTTGTTGGTAGGGTGATGTCCAGTTTTTAATCCTTAGAAAAGGCATTTTCAAAAGGCCTACAGCATTCTCTTCCGCTCTATTTTAGCCTCACAACCACCCCATGAGTTAGGTTAGGCGGAAAGTGCGTGACCAGCCCAAGGCCACCCAGCAAACTTCCGGGGTAGAGTTGGGATCTGAATCCGGCCCTCGCAGGTCCTAGTCGGACATTCTAACCTCTGGACCAGGCTGCCTGTCTGACATCCTCTCCTTCAAATCCTGCTGTGGAATAAAGCTCCCTGTATGACCTGGGGCCAGTCATTCTCTCTCAACCTCACAGGGCTGTTGTGTGGGGAGAGCACTGCGCTCAACTCAAAAGAGTCCCTCGTAGGGCCCACTGAAAAGACACGAGATGGATTTTAGGTGGCATCGCCATCTAGTGGCCTTCCCTGAAAGCTTGCACTACTCGTACTGGAGGGGGCAGAGAAAAACAGGGGTGCATACCCAGTGTCCCTTCGCAATCCACCTACTCGCTTCAAGGAGAAAAGCAACGAATTATACAGAGAGGGGCAGGCAGAGCGCCCAGTCTGTGGGCATCTAGAGGAAGAGCACCCGCAGCAACCCAAATAAGGATCTTCTACAGAATGGACGTGGGGACGTTAAAAAGGCATCTGCAGTCAAGATGGTGTGCTATGTGCCACCAAGTGGCTTCTGACTTATACGGACCCTATGAATTAATGTCCAAAACGTCCTCTCATTAACAGTCTTGCTCAGGTCTGAAGAGTCAGTTTGGTGTAGTGGTTAAGTGGTTAAGACTCTAATCTGGGAGAACCTGGTTTGATTCCCCACGCCTCCACTTGCAGCTGCTGGGTGACCTTGGGTCAGCCACAGTTCTCACAGAGCTGTTCTCTCAAGGGCAGTCCTTATAATTTTGGATTGTCCTCTGTTCCTAGAGTCTTCAATTTTTCCCAGCATCATTGTGTCTTTCTGGCCACAGGAATCCCCATCAAACAATAAGGTGAACTGGGTCACCCTTTTTCTCTGCAATGCTCTTCCTTCTAGCCCAATTGGCTTAGAGGCACAAAGCCAGCGAGACCTGCCTGGGGCGGGGGGGGGGGGGGGGGGGGGGGGCACTTTGTGCCAGCTACTGCTGATGGTTTTAAAAAAGAAAGAAAAAGCCTTGGGAACGGTGAAGCAAAACCAGCACAATGTCAAGGCAGTTGAAAGAACTCAGATGACGGAAGGCACTTTCATACGCACGCTGAATAATGCACTTTCAACGCACTTTAGCAATCCTTTGCAAGTAAATTTTGCCATTTCACAGTAAAATCCCACTGCAAGGTGCATTCTTCAGAATCTGTAAAGGCGCCTAAAGTCTAAACCATTTCACCAGTTTAAAAAATCCACTCCTATAAAGAAGAGCCTTAAGAAATGGCGACTGATGGGTGATCCATGTTCAGAGTAACCCCTTCAATGTCTCCAGAGGAGCACTGAGGCAGAAATTTCCAAACTGTGTTGCAAGGCATTTTGGAACACCTGAAACTGTTGGCCCAGTCTCCCCAGGTGGTGGGGGAGGAGGAGATTGGCTTAATACCCCGCCCTTCACTACCCAAAGGAGTCTCAGAGCAGCTTACTATCGCCTTTCCCTTCCCCTCCCTACAACAGACACCCTGTGAGCAATGCTCCCTCTAAGCTGTGGAGTCTTGTGAGCAAAAACTCTACTTTGTGAGCTACAGGCGTTAAAGTTGTGAGTGAGCAATTTGGCTACTGCATAAATTAGTTTGCTCTGGAGCCATCCTTCCCGAGCTAAGACAAAAATGTGTGAGTTGGAAGCTAAAAAAATGTGAGCTAGCTCACACTAACTCAACTTAGAGGGAACACTGCCTGTGAGGTAGGTGGGGCTGAGAGAGCTCTTTCAAGGACTGTTTGCGAGAGAACAGCTCTGAGAGAACTTGTAACTGACCCAAGGTCACACCAGCAGCTGCATGTGGAGGAGTGGGGAATCAAACTCGGCTCTCCCAGATTAGCCATCCTCTCCTGGATTCACTGAGATGATTCTTTCTTGGCTGATTTTTATTTATTTATTTGTTAGACTTTTACCCCGCTCTCCCGCCGAGGCGGCTCATGTTCCCATATTGAGATAATCCAATTGTTCTTTGAGAGGGAAGGCGACATGGTATATAGCCATATCTCATCAGATCGCATAAGCTAAGCAGGGTGAGAACTTGAATAGGAGACCATTGGGGAAGGCTCTGCAGAGGAAGGCAATGGTAAACCATTTCTAAATTGGAAGTCCTTTGGCTGGGATCGCCACACATCAACTGCTACTTGACAGCAGTTGCGTACATTATTGGCCATTGAACATTGGGGCCATAGCATCCTCCCTGTTTGACTCAAAGGGGATGTGCAATAGGAGCAATGTGTCAGTTGCGCTGGATCCTTAGGCATTGCCCATTGTATTTAATTGTTTTAAAATGTTTTAATTGTATTTTATTGCACTGTTGTGCCTTGATCCTGGAATTATGGTGTATTGCACCTGTATACTGTAAGCCGCCCTGAGCCCGCGTGCGGGGAGGGCGGGGTATAAATGAAATTAATTAAATAAATAAATAAATAATTTTTTCCCTGAGTAGGGAGGGGAGTTATTCAATGAGTGATTAAAATGTGGAATCTGCCACCAGAGGATGTAGCGATGGCCACAGTCATAGACTGCTCTAAAAGGCAATTAGACAGATTCATGGGTGTCCATCAGTGGATACTAGCCATGGTGACTAAAGAGAACCTCCACATTCAGAGGCAGTCAACCTCTGAATCTCAGTGCCCAGAAGGCGACATCGGGGGAAGGCCTCGACTTCCATGCCCTGTTGTTGGCCCTCCAGAGTAACTGACTGGCCACTGTGTGGGACAGGATGCTGGACTGGATGGACCACTGCTCTGATCCAGCAGGGCTCTTATGATCTTAGTTTTGTCCAGTATTTTAAAATCCTGTGTTTCCTCCTCCACAGCATCAAAAAGGAGTGAGTAGACAATAGTGACTTAGATGGACCAAAGCTCTGATTCAGTATCAAGCAGCCTCCTGTGTTCACATGTTTGCTCTCCACCCCTCTTCCGTTTACAGACGTCGCCGGTCCGCTCTAAAGCACAAACACCTCTGAAGCAAACGAGACGAGAGAGGATAACCATTTATTAGCCGGCTAAACATTTGCTGGATTTTTATTCTTGAGAATATGAAATGTACAAAACAAAACATGTGCAGGAATCATAGTTTAAGAACAGATTAGTAATGTAGGGTCGTTTTTTTAAAAACGCTTTTAAAAAAAAGACTAAATCTCAGAATAAATTTCAAAAGCAGGCGGCATTTCCTCCACCTCCACCCAAGTGGTCCCAGAGAGCATCGGAGACAAGCTTGTATGAGAGTTCTGGTCCTTTAAACGGCGCTTGTCTCTTGAGTCCCAAAGACAAATGAAGGATTTTTAAAAGGGAGGATCCAACGCTTCCCTCCCTTGCAGGACCAAAGCAGGACTTCTGCTAATTACACACACACACACACACACACACACACACACACAGAACCCCAAACCCTTACTTCACCAGGGGTTGTCCCATTCCGAAGTGTGTCTCTTGTATAATCAGAATGTATTTTTAAAAGGCGGTTCATTACACACGAGGACACAAAACAGGAAAGGTTGCAATTATTGCCAAGAAAGGGATTAGAGCTCAGACTAATACATGTTAAGTTGTATCGCTCCACTTGGTCACAGTGTAGCTGAACTTGTAATCCTTCATGGAGGCAGGAGGAGAGAGAAGAGCCCAGCTACACATCTGTGGCAAGGAAGCTAATTTTGACTGGCTAGCTTGGACCGGCACATCTGGAATGTCACACACGGCATTCTGCTGCAGAATGAAGGTGGAAGCATATCACATCACCCTCTTATTTTACTAGAGAGGCACATCACCATTAGCTTTGGCTATTTGTCACCAGATTTCTTCACTCGCTAGGCACCCGTTGTGGCCTTGTTATCAGCTTTGGCGCCAGCCGACACCAAGATCTTGGGCACGACCTGCCAGTTCCCTGCTACCTTACTCAACCAGCCCAAAGTTGCAAACCCCCAAAGCACCCAGCGGCAATTTTGGGGGCAGCCTCACTTCCCCCCCCATCCTCCGCCCCCACCGCCCCCTTCAAGTACACGACTTGAAACTATTACCAAGGCCGTTCCGGGTACCGTGCACAGACCCGAAAGAGCAAACCAACACTGGGTTCCGGGTATGGCCCAGGCTCTCTCTCTTTATTCTCTGTAAAACTTCCCAAACTCAAAACAGCTGCTGGGCTGCAGGGAAGCTGGCTTCCCTTTGGTCACGGCGTGCCTGAGCTCTCCGGCCTGTAGAGCGGGTGCCAGCTGCAAATACCACAGCTGGTTCTAAAGCTAAAATGGATGGTACCTGTTGGTGACCACACGAATGAGCCTATGGGGATCCCTGCCCCCAGGCTGGCATCCAGAGATGACGGCCTCTTCACGTCACTCCTCGCCTTGTCGTTCTCTGGAGGATATGAAGGCCTGTCCCTCCTCGCCAGATCCCCCTCCCTCCCCCCATTTTTTCGCAGTTTACGTTCCCATTGGCCACATTCATCATGTCCATCAAGAGGGGGTGCCAGCACTCCTCTTGGATCGTCTCGGAAGAAAAAAAGGGGGGGGTTGTACCACTAAGCAGCATCATGAGCAGCTTGAAAAAGTTCATACGAAAAATCAGGAAATCGAGAAAGGCGGAGCTTTGGACGGTAGGTCGGCTCTCTCTCTGGGCGCGTCTCGGCCGTCGAGCCGCTGGGTCCCGTCATCATCTAGAAACACAACCATTTCTGTTGGGTTAATTGCAACTGGTGTTGTATTAACTGGTATGGTATTTATTAATGGTTTTAACTTGCTTGTTTATGCCATTTTAATGTTGTTAGCCGCCTTGAGCCAGATATCTGGAAAGGCGGGATATAAATATAAATAAACAAAACAGAGGGAACCCTTCAAACTCTGGTAGCGCGGATCTCTCTGGCTTAACACACAGACATTATGAGCCCCCCTGGACTGTGTGGGTTTCCCTTAGTCACTTTGCAAGCTCTTGAGGAACCGGCCAGGGCAGCAACCCCAAGACACTCTCACTCATGACTCTGGGAGACGGGACGAGTAGCTATTTAAAAGCCTAGACAGGGCACTAGTGGCCCACTCTGTTGGGGTCCTGTTCATATAACCCTCAAAACTACAGTGAGGAGAGTTCGTATGGGAGAAAGGCACCTATGCAGCTTCAGGAGAGACTGGGGATTTGACCAGAGATTCTCACATACAAGCCTGGCAGTGCAGCTACTCCTGCTAGACAGTGTGGGGGGGAGCGCACTCTCTCTCTCTCTGCTCCTCTTATTCCCCCATCTTGCCATCTCCTACCTCCCCCATCCATTCCCCACACATGCACTTTTCCACTTTCCATCAAACTGATTCCAATGCAATTCTGCATCCCATGTCAAATAACCAAACTTCTCTTTCTGCTTCTCCTATACCAGGGATCTCCAACGTGGTGCCATGGTGACAAGTGTTTTGAGAAAGTGGGCAAGCTAGGTGGGCCTTTTTGCCTAACAAGGCTTCTTACTGGCCACTGGAGGCTTAACTGACTGTGCAGATGTTCTGTTTCTTTCTTTTTGCATTTTTCATGTGTGCGTGCGTGTGAGTGTACCTGGAAGTTATGGCACCCTCTCGAGACTGACTTTGTGTCATGGTGACCTCTGGTAAGTCACCCCTACTGGGGGCCTGGAGGGTATTTGGTGCCCACAGGCTCAAAAAGGTTGTGGACTCCAGTCTTATACTTTTCTTATAATGAACAGAACCTGGAAGTCTTTTGGGCTTGAGAGGCATCCAGTGTTCTGAACACTGCCCAGGAGAGCTACAACCACTGCTGACTTGCGATGTGTGAAACAGATACACTCTACTGAAGTTTGAGGCTTTATGTTAAACCCTTCCCTGCCCCACTGCAATTCTACCCTGCTACAGGCATTTCTAGCAAGTGACTGAGGGCTAGCACCTAGTAGTGCCAAGAGCAGTTTTTACCACGCAAATACAGGGAAAGGAAGCAAAAAGGAACCAACACCCACCGCCTCAGATTCCTTGTTTCAAATAGTGTATCTTCATCACTTTCCAGAGAACCCATCTCCATGTTATCTTCAGAGTTAGAGAGAAGACCGTATTTTTTCCGTGCAGGCTTCCTTGTGCTGAAAAAATAAAAGTTTTCCCCCCTATTAGCTGCAATATTCCAACATCTCTCGCTGTCAAACTTGGCCAAGTTGCTATTTCTGAAACAGGACTTGTTGCTATGCAGCAATGAGTCAATCCAAGGGAGGCTATTTTTGTAACTGCCCAGTTCAGTCATTCAGGCTGGTGGGACAAAACTAGGGCTAACAGCAACCAAAAAACAGCCCTGGGTACACAGGAGCAAAGCACAGAACATCAAAAAAGAGCTGGATTCGAGCTGCGTAGAATCCTTAGAATTCAACAAGATTTTCGGGATATAAGTTATTGAGAGTCGAAGCTCCCTTTGTCAGAAATCAGCTTTGATTCTGGAAAGCTAATATCCCAAAAATCTTGTTGATCTCTTAAGGTGCTACTGGATTAAAATCTAACCTACTGCAGACCAACATGGCTACCCATTGAAGATTATCAAATAACAGTTTGGAAAACCGTTCAGAAAAACTAGGGTTTTTATCTGGCCTGCATTGGCTTTATGCTTTGCTGGTCCTTAGTTTTCTGTTTGACTGTGTCTTTTAAAGTCATTTGTTAGATATTGCAGTTATGACAACTTTGGTTATTTAGTATTTTATGACACTTCCATTTGTGATCTTATTGGAGTTTCTTATCTCCAAAGCAGCAGCATAAAAAGAAAACAAAAACAAGAACTTTAACTACATACCCATAACACTGAACAGGCAGCGCATAATTTAAAATAAAAGCCTTACAGAGCTCCTGAGAGGATTACAAAACAGTAATGTACATAGTGCACTCCGGACACTGAAAGCGCTTTCAAAGCGCTTCAGTCACCCTATAGAGATCTGCAAAAAGCATATCATTTTTATTTATGTCTGCCCTGGTCCCAATCCGGACTCCTTGTTTAAACCCTCCTTCCCCTCCAAAGCAGCAGAGGCTCCCCCTTGGTGCAAATTTAACATGCAATTGCTGGGTGACCTCAGACAGCCCATCTCTCCCCCGCCCATGGATTGGTGGTGAGTCAGTGTTCCCTCTAAGCTGAGTTAGTGTGAGACTCCAGCTCACACATTTTCCTCTTAGCTCAGAAGGACGGCTCCAGAGCAAACTGACTTACGCAGCAGCCAAATCGCTCGCTCACAACTTTAATGCCAGTAGCACACAAAGTAGAATTTTTGCTCACAAGGCTCCACAGCTTAGAGGGAGCATTGGTGGTGATAGGGAATAATGACACTGCCCTACCTTACAGGGTTGTTGTAAGGAATAAAACACTAGAAATGTCTTGAACGCTCTACGAAAATAATGATTAATAATGATTAATAATAATAGCCGCCGTTGCAGCCATCCGACCCCTTTCCAGGCGTCTCACCGGAACACTCGACCGCCGAGGTAATACAGGACGGCCAGGGCGGCGAGGGCTATGAAGACAAAGAGGGCGCGCCGGAGGGCCGGCAGCCCCAGCCCGAACAGACCCGAAGACGACGAGGAGGAGCCGGGCGGGGCGGTTGTGGCGGCGCCGGCAGGCCCCGGTGCGACCCCCTGGCTGTGGCTTCCGTGCCCCGCCGGAGCCGTAGCAGTCGCGACCGTTGCCGTCCCGTTGGTAGCAGCTTCGGCGGCTGCCGCGGCCCCCAAGCACGCCGCCACGAAAACAAGACGCGTCGCCATTCAAGCCGCAGAGGCCGACTCTGAGGAGCGGAATCGGCCGCGCCGGAAGTGCCCGCGGGGAACTGGTGCCGCGACGGACCGACTTCCGGGAGCCTTGACTCTGGTGTGCCCTCAGCTGCATAGGCCCGGCAACAGCCGTTCCCCTCTCAACACGGGATAGTTTGGGCCTCGAAGGGCTCCTGGAGGAGGAAGAGCAGAGTCTGCGAGGTGTTGTGCGGCGGCTAAAGTGTCGGACTAGGATCTGGCCGACCGAGGTTCCAGTCCCTACTCTGCCGTGGAGGCCTTGCTAGGTTGATCTTGAGCCTACCTCACAGGGTTGTTGTGAGGGTAAAATGGAGGAGAGGAGAATGTGGGTTCCCGACGGTGGGCGAGGGATAAATGAAGTAAATAAAAAAAACTCTGGTCGTTATTAGCACTTCCCGTTTAGAAACCAAAAACTGGCCGTCTGAATCACTCTAGTATTTGGTTAGGGCGAAATCTGACTCTTATTTTGGAGACGACGTTCAAAAGGCGACGCGACAATTTCTGTTTCACACACATGTCAACTACAGTTCCCATACAGCACCACGGCGGCCAAGGACTTAAGCCTTGCGCGTCGCAAAACCTTCTGGAAATTGCAGTCGTGTCTCCCCAGTGCATCAGTGGGCGTACGAAACGCGTTCCTTGCGAACTCTGGCGAGTGGGTTGTTGGGAAATGTAGTCTAACCTAAGCAAAGGACTACTGAGGGCGCTGAGCCTTATGGGAAATACAGCCGCTCCCCCTGTCGCAATGCATTAATGGGAAAAAAGACAGAATAGCCGTAGTGGCCTTTAAAAGAGCCCTTGCCCGCTCAGAGCCTTCTGGGAGCTCGGTCCCTCGTCAGTCTTCTTTTCCCAGCGTTCCTAGCGAGAGGTCCCTCTGCTTGCGGCGCGGAGGCCTCCTGGGAGCTGTAGTCCGTCTCTCATCGCCGTCCTCTACGCGCCTGCTTCTCGCGTACTCTGCCCTTGGCTCAGTCACCATGCTGCCCGCCAGCCGCCGCCTCGCTCTCTCCCTCCGCCGGGCCCTGGCACTGGGCTGTCCGCGGACCTCGGCCCGGCATTATGCCGAAGCGGCCCCCGCTGCGGGTGGCGCGGCCCAGATGGCCTTCACCTTTGCTTCCCCGACGGAGGTATTGCCATGGTAACCACAGGGCGGGGAGGGGGAGCCGTTTGGAGGCGAACCCCTGGAAATTGGGGAGGGGGGGGGGAGAGTGGAAGATGTCTCTGGACCCTCCACCAGTGTTACCTCTAAGATGAGTTAGTTTGATGTAGTGGTTAGGAGCACGGGCTCTAATCTGGGAGAACCGGGTTTGATTCCCCTCTCCTCCACATGCAGCTGCTGGTGTGACCTTGGGTCAGTCCCAAGTTCTCTCAGCTGTTCCCTCAAGGGCAGTTCTCTCAGCCCCACCTGCCTCACAGGGTGTCTGTTGTGGGGAGGGGAAGGGAAAGGAGATTGGAAGCCGCTCTGAGACTCCTTTGGGTAGTGAAGGGTGGGGTGTAAATCCAATCTCCTCTTCTTCGTGTGAGCTAGCTCAGTTTTTTAGCCTCCGGCTCACACATTTTTGTGTTAGCTCAGGAAGGGGAGCTCCAGAGCAAACTACTTTATGCAGCAGCCAAATTGCTCACTCACAACTTTAATGCCAGTAGCTCACAAAGTAGAATTTTTGCTCACAAGACTCCACAGCTTAGAGAGAGCATTGCCCTCCACAGACATGTGTTCCGTATCTGTTGCGTTTTTAGGCTCCCAGTTTATGTGGCTCCCCTTCTTTCCTGTTTCATCCTTGTAATAACCCTGTGAGATAGGTCAGGCTGTGACGGCATGGCTTGGTTAAGGCTGCTTAGTGAATTTCTCGGTAGAACGAGAAAAGAGGAAGAGTCCAGTAGCACCTTAAAGCACGGGTGTCAACAGAGTTGCCAGGTCTGGGTTGGAAAATACCTGGAGACTTTGGGGGTGGATCCGGGAGAGGGCGGGGTTTGGGGACAGGAGGGGCGTCGGCATGGTACAGTACTACGGAGTCCACCCTCCAAAGCAGCCATTTTCTCCAGGGGAGCTGATCTCTGTAACAGTGGGAGATCTCCAGGCCCCACTTCCATCCCGTGATGTCTCTCTTGGTTTTGCTCCCACCTGGAGGCTGGCAACCCTAGTCGTCAAACATAAGGCCCGGGGGCCAGAACCGGCCTGTCCAGGGCTCTTATGTGGCCCATGAGCAACTCGTGCAAGGGAGGGAACAGGAGACTGTTTGAGGGGTTGAGCAGAGCTACTCCAGTTGTGGCTTCAGCATGGCGAAACAACCTCGCCTGCGGCAGCCAAACCACGTGGGAGCATCTGCCCAGTGTAGCACTACTGGCTCTGTAGTCCACCCATATGGGTTTGCCTTTGGTCCCCTTTCCCAGCCCATGGGGCCTTGCAGTGAGGATAAAACGACTCAGAGCTTACCATCTGCTGTCCTTTGTACACTTTATATCTCCAGTACTTAGCATCACATTTTATATATAGAGAGAGAGTGAGTGTGTGTGTGTGTGTCCAGGAGTACCTTTAAGACTAACCAAATTTGTGTCAGGGTAGGAGCTTTCGAGCAGTGACTCACAAAACGTCATATCCTATCACTAATTTTGTTGGTCATTGAGGTACTATCGGTCTCTTGCTCTTTTCCCTTGCTATTAGACAGACTAAAACGGCTACCCATCTTGGTAGTACAAGGATTTGAACCCAGGACTCCTTGTTTCTTGTCTTGAAGATACCACCACAATCACTCACGACCATCTTGTTTGAAAGCACTTTATTACTGTTTTATTGTTATTATTGTTATTACTAAGATTTTACTGTTTTATTGGATTTTATGCGTGGGCTTTTGCCCCTGCAAGCCGCCCTGAGCCCGCTTGCGGGGAGGGCGGGGTAAAAATGCCTAAATAAATAAAATAAAATAAATAAACACTGGCTCTTGTTTGCTTCTTTCTACCTATTTCACTTTTCTCTTTTCCCCCATTGACAGTTAGATTGGACGTTTCTCGGGGCAGGGGTCTGACTTTTGAGTGCTTCGTTAGTGTCAGGCACCCCAATGCTGTTGTTTAGTAATGACAGTGCTGTGAACAAAACTTTCTGCTCTGTCTGCCTATTATGTTTTTAGCCCATGTTTCTGTTGATTTCCCTTATATGCCTTTAACCTTCACAACAGCCTTGCAGATTAGGTGAGGCTGAGGGGGAAATGTGAGTGGCTCAAGGTCACCCAGTGAGTTTTGTGGTTGAGGGGGGATTTGACCTTCCCCACTTCTAATTCTAGACTGAGACTTTTAATTAGAGTTGATGTAGCCTAGCTGTTAAGTGTGTCCAGCTAGGACTGTGGTCTCTGGGTTCAGACCTCCCACTCACCTATAGAGATGTAAAAATCCCTAGAAACGCAATACTTGCTTTCTCATCAAACCTAGGCCAGGCAGCAGAAGACTTGGAAATATCACTGAATATTTTTACTTCTTCAAAGCCACCCTGAGGTCTTGTGGCAGCAACTCCTTTCCCTGTACCTTAAAATCAAAAACTAGTTTTCTCTCTCTACTCTCCACTTTCTAGGTTTTCTACAATGCGGCCAACGTGAAGCAAGTGGACGTCCCCACCCTGAACGGAGCCTTTGGCATCTTGGCTGCCCACGTCCCCACTTTGCAGGTCTTGAGGCCTGGGGTCGTGACAGTCTTCACCGAGGATGGCTCAGCTGCTAAATTCTTTGGTGCGTTTCAGGACTTTGGTCTCTTAGCCGGTTTGGTGTAGTGGTTAAGTGCGCGGACTCTAATCTGGGAGAACCGGGTTTGATTCCCCACTCCTCCACTTGCACCTGCTGGATGGCCTTGGGCAAGCCGTAGTTCTGGCACAGCTGTCCTTGAAAAAGAGCAGTTTCTGTCAGAGCTCTCTCAGCCCCACCTACCTCACAGGGTGTCTGTTGTGGGGAGGGGAAGGGAAAGGGGTTTGTAAGATGCTCTGAGACTCCCTTGGGTAGTGAAGGGTGGGGTATAAATCCAATCTCTTCTTCTTCTTTGTGAAAAAGAGCAGTTTCTGTCAGAGCCCTCTCAGCCCCACCTCCCTCACAGGGTGTCTGTTGTGGGGAGGGGAAGGGAAAGGAGTTTGTAGGCCGCTCTGATGAGACTCCTTTGGGTAGTGAGGGGCGGGGTATAAATCCAATCTCTTCTTCTTCTTCGTGAAAAAGAGCAGTTTCTGTCAGAGCTCTCTCAGCCCCACCCACCTCACAGGGTGTCTGTTGTGGGGAGGGGAAGGGAAAGGAGTTTGTAAGCCGCTCTGAGACTCCCTTGGGTAGTGAAGGGCGGGGTAGAAATCCAGTCTCCTCCCCCCCGCTCCTCCTTCTTCTGTCTGAGCTGTTGTCCTGCTGCTC